CTTAGCTTGACATATTCCCCTTCCAGCTTTATGACTATTTCAGTATTATTGCAGGAGATGTCTTCCAATTCTGAGATTCTTTCTTCTGTTTCTGATGAATTTCAATTTGCTGTATTTTATTCTTCATTTTTAATATTTTGGCTTGATTTTGTTCCAGTGTTGCTATTTCCTGTGTAACATAATCTTAGCTTCCTTGAACTCCTGTATGTGTTTCTTGGTGTTCTTATGAACTTAAATTTTTTTTTAATTCTTTGTCCCTCAGTTAACTCTAAAGTTGACATCAACTTTTGCTCCTTTTCTGTGTAGCCATTAAGTAACCTTATCATTGGGCCTGTGTCTCATCTTTTGCCCTTTTTCATTGCAATTCTAACTAGTCAAATCTTCTTGTCACAGCTTGTTCTTAAGCTGTGTTGTCCAAAAATTCTACAGGTTAACTTTACTGACCCCATTCAGTGCCTGGTTCTTCATTTACCATCACTCTTACCACCTCCCATAGTGAGTTTCAGTCCCAGGTACAATGCTTCTACTGTGGTCTCTGCAGCACTAGCTCTGATCTCACCACTCTTCACTCCTGTTATCCTGTGCTGTGGCTGCAACATTTCCTACTGAACCTTTTTTCTGCTCCCATTCCCAGTAATACCTGGGATTAGGGATACCAACTGCGACTATTATATTGCATACAAGGTTGTCAGTAGTCCCATTGACTGGATTTTTGTTGTTGTTTCCTCTTCTTCTTGAACCTGCTTGGCAATTAGGTCTGGGGATGGAACCCATGGAATGCCAAGTCAGTATTGTTTTCCCAGTGGGACCAGTGCAATATATTGAGCTGGAAATGAGTTCTCTCTTGGTTTAGCCCATGCACAGCTCACTGTTGTTCCTCCCAAAAGCCTTTGCCACAGTACACAAAAGAGCCCAATGTGGCATTTGTGAGTATATGGGCTGTGAAATTCACCTTGTTCCCACATCTGATTGTTCAGTCACTCTGCCTCTATTCTTGACTGGATTAAAGAAATCAGTAGGACATTCATTTCTATGGATGGGTTCATCTTCTGAGTCCGCAATAAACTCCTGTTCCCACCTAGCTGACAGTAGAGCTCCAACCACTGCTGGGATATCTGTTCGCTATAGGATCATACTTCTGTCTCTAGTGCTCCCCCATGGCCCTGGGTATCCATCCAGGCATCTGACATTGGCCTGTCCTTTCTATTTTCCAGGATTGCACCCTGTCTGCTTCACCTCACCTAATCCTTCTCCATCTGTTTAAACCTGTGCTCACCCTATTCTACCATCTTGAAAACTTAGCACTATTCTCCATTATTCCGTACTGTAAGGCTGTCATTTAGACATACAACAAATCAATTTACAATTCATTAACTCATAAAAAGGTGTAACAGCTCTTAACTGTTAGAATATTTATGAAATCCTTGGGCTGACTGCAAGGTTATCTTCATTTGAAGGATATCTTCACAAGCAAGCTGTAATTACCATTATAGTTGGTTTGATAATTGCAGCTCTCTCCTCTGCATTGCCCACATCCACCTTCATCTCCAAATTGTAAACTACTTGTCAATACAAATGCTATACCATGACACACTGGATTAACAAAAACGGGATTTTTCCTAATTCAATGAAGTATAGAGATAATGAACAATGTAACTTTTTTGGCTATTTAAATCTCTTTGATTTCAAATTGAACAAACAAAATAAAGGACTTTTCAAATTGCATCATCCGGGCCCGGCGCGGTGGCGCAAGTGGTTAAGGTCCTCAAATTGCATCATCCTCCAAGGAGGAAAAAGGACATAGAACTATTATTAGTTGATAATATTCTTTGAAATTTTTTCTAAGGCTCACAAGTTATCCCAGGAATTTGTTAAGTAGCATCTATATTATAAATACTACCCTCAGGCTTCCAGATTCTTACTCACTTCTTGATTGACCCAGACATAATTCACATTTAGTAAACTCTTCCAGATTGTGATTTTATACAGTTAAGTTTTATCTTATTGCACTTCCATAGCCAAGAGAATTCAACATCTGACATGTGATGGCATGAAAATACCTTAGACAGATTTCAGAAACCTGGGTCCAGACACCAGGACAGAGGACTCAGGTTGGGCAACCTTAAGATTCATTGTGGGACATTTGGTCTTGAGATGCAGAGAGAAAAGGTGCTCTTAAAGTATTTACTATCCATTATCTAAGCAGTAATTTAGCATAAACTAAACCAGATGGGCTTAGCAAGAAGCAATGCAAATAACTTGAGGCAGACAAGGAGACAACATAGATAAAAAGCTTATTTTTAAGAAGACAGGAATAGCTTAAATCAGTAACCAAATATACTAAGTGGAAATTCAGTTAGGTTGATTATTTTCTTGTACTGTGTTTACAAGAAAAACAAAATATTAACTAGTAAATTTATGCTGTAGAGATATGCATCACCTTTTATAATTTGCTTAAACATTAAAACCCTGTAATGGTTTATAACTAATACTCACTGTGTCTAATGCAATGACTACACACACACATACACACAAACTTTATATAAATATAAATATATATAATGTAAGTTACTACCAAGTCTAGATTTGAGTATTTTCCAGAAACCAGTCTTAAAGCATGTATCTTATTTAAATTAGAAAATAACATATGAAATGCTAGATAACTTTCTGTCATCCTTCCCCCAGCCCCTAAATTTTGGGAAATGTGGAAGAACACAGCATTTCAGAATAGTATTAGGCACTATGCACTTGGAAATATACTTTTCTGGTGCTGTTTTGAGAAATGAGTTTTCTCATTGCTACATATCAAGCAACATAGCAAGTATAATGAATGAAAACAATGGGATAGAAAAACTAGTGAAGCAAGTCATTGATAATACTAGATATTTGATAACCTTATCTAAACCTCACCAAATTTTCATTTACTTTTTTCTTGGAGCAGTATTGCAGCACAGCTGGTTATATTGCTGACTATATCCCACATCGAAGTTCTGGTTCAAGTTCTCGGCTACACCTCTTCCAGTCCAGCTCCCAATTACTGTGACTGCTGAGCAAGTGGAAGATGGTCTGAGTACTTCCATCTCTGCCATCCACTGGGGAGACCGAGATGGAATTCCTGCACCCTATGTTCAGTCTCGTTCATTCCCTGGCTGTTACGTACATTTAAAAAGTCAATCTTCCCCCAACCTTTCTTTCTCTCTCTCTTTCTCTGCCTCTCTTATTCTCTCCCTCCCTTCCTCCTCCTCAGATTTTTTAAAAAGATTTATTTATTTTTATTACAAAGTCAGGTATACAGAGAGGAGGAGAGATAGAGAGGAAGATCTTCCGTCCAATGATTCACTCTCCAAGTGACCGCAACGGTCGATGCTGTGCCGATCCGAAGCCAGGATCCAGGAGCTTCCTCAAGGTCTCCCACACGGGTGTAGGGTCCTGAGGCTTTGAGCCATCCTCGACTGCTTTCCCAGGCCATAAGCAGGGATCTGGATGGGAAGTGGAGCTGCTGGGATTAGAATCGGCACCCATTTGGGATCCTGGCACATTCAAGGTGAGGACTTTAGCCACTAGACCATGTTGCCAGACCCCCCTCTCAGATTTTTAAATAAATAAAATAAATCCTTTCAAAAGAGCTATTCTTCTAAGGGTATTTTCTAAGGATTTTTGGACAATAATTAACTAACTATAGCATGGCAACAAAACCAAGTATTATCTATTCTGCCAAAAATTTAACATTGATATTTTTAAATCCCTAATAATCTATATGCAGTAAAGCTTATTGCATGCTTTTTACCTGTAAAACCATATATGACATTTTAAAAATGATACAAAGATACATAAGAAATCATATCACACATTCCAGGAGCTATCAGTCTAAAATGAAAAACAAATATCAATAAGTAAAATGGAGAGATATAGAAAGGCAATTTGTAACTACATCCCAGTCTCAAAAATGATGATAAAGTCATAAATTTATATTTTCCAGACATGCCTATTTAATATCCCACTACCTGTGAACTACAAATACTTGCTTTCCAAGCAAACCCACAGCTAAATGCCCAATGACCTTCAATCTTTGATTCCTGTTCTTTTCATCATGACAATGAATCCGTTAGGGGCCATAAACTGTCCAGCTATGGGAATAACTATATAAACATAAAAATATGCTGTTTATACTGATCTTCCCTCTCTTTGGGCCATGGAGTCTGCTCTTTACTGCTTAAAAATCCCTGGAATAGTAAAGACCACAGCCTTGGAAGAGGTCCAGAAAATCCCAGTTCTGTACAGTGGAAGTCCAGGAGAGGCTTCGAAAGGACTTGTTTTGAGGAAGGACTATGCCTCATTTCCCCTTTGTCTTAACTTAATATGACATGTAAGGAGCTTTGAGTGGATGGCTTAGTTGATTAAACTTTCTGCAGAAACATACAGATATATCTCCTAGAAGTTATTTTCTTCTCTATGAAATCACAAAGGCATTTTACATGAACTGCTTTGTAAATAAAATTTGATTCCAAGTAGTACAAGATCTGGTGGGGCAATGGGAGAAAAAAAAAAAAAAGGAGAATTTAAATAACTCACAAGTTTGATTAACTCAATATGTCTTTTTTTTTTTTTTTAAGATTCACGTACTTGTTTGAAAGTCAAAGGAGGACAAAGAGAGAGAGAGAGAGAGAAAGATCTTTCATCTTTTTTTCACTCCAGGTGGCCACAATGACCACAGTTTGGCCAGGCCTTAGCCAAGAGCTGCTTCCTGTCTCCCACATGGTGACAGGGTCCTAAGTACATGAACCATATGCTGATTTGTTTCCCAGGCCGTCAAAAGGGAGCTGAATTGGAAACTGAGCAGCCAGATACAACTGTCCTCAATAGGATATGCTGATAATGCAGGAGGCAGCTTTGCACACTATCTCACAATTCCATGTTATTCTGCATTTTAAATATGTGCAAGAGGTAGGACTACTAAATACCTTTGAACTAAGTCAAATATTGTTTTTTGTATGTTTCAGTACGCTTCCCAGGAGTTAAAACTTACATTGACCCTGATACGTATGAAGACCCATCCCTCGCAGTCCATGAATTTGCAAAGGAGATTGATCCTTCAAGAATCCGCATTGAGAGAGTCATTGGAGCAGGTAAATGTCAAATCTATGCTTTTGAGCATATGATTCCTTAAAAGCTTCATAACTAACTGTTTTATCAGCATAATATTTTAAATCACAGCAGTTTTAGTCACTAAAATTTCAAGATGAGAACTAAAATTACATTTGCTATGTCATTTCAAAGAAGCAAAGCAATCATCCATGTCATTCTCAATGAGAGCATTCCCAAAAGTGATTTTTAGCATTCTGTAGTCTTCTTGCATAATGAAGACTGGTTATATTTAGCTATAATGCTTAATAAAATTTGTTTTGAAAATGAAATTTTTATAAGATTAATATATATTTGGTTAAGCCCCAATTTTAATAGATATGTTATAATAAATATTTATAGTGATGACCTTGAGTCTCTGTAATACCTAGGAGTGTTCTGAAAGCCATTGAAGATACAGTTTGACTCAAAATAGCTTTATTACACTTTAATGCAAATTAGAAATCCCTCCTATGTAGAATTTTCTGATGCTCAGATTCTTTTATTATGCAACAATTCTGGAAAAATGCAAACGTATAAAAAGGGATACAAGGATTACATAGTCCATGCTGGCATAGGAGCTACCATTCAAGAGCTTTACATAAGGCTCCAGGTTCTTTCTGCTCTGTGCTCTATCTTCCCCCAGTATCTGCCTCTGGATTTTCAAATCTAGGAGGCCAGCACTTGGGTCTTTCAGTCTGTGAGAAGACAAAGGAAAGAGTTAACATAGTTTTTGTTTTTGTCAAGGCAATAACCTGGATATTACACGTTAGTAATTCCCATCTCAAAAAGCATCTAAATGTCATATCAGAGTATAATATTTCCCTCACTCCACCCCTAAACTGAAAAGGAAATCTAATACTGATGAATGCTCAAAGGAACTCCATGTAAACAAGGATTTATCAGGGCAACATATATCCAGGATTCTAAACTGAGTGAATACATGATGTGATCACAGCACAGCAGCACGATTTTTCTACACAAAGCAACAATGAGGGAGAGGTTTTATACATTTGCCAATCTAATAGGGATATGAGGTACAAGCTTGCTTTTACAGTATCCCTTTATGTTTTCTTTAGGAGCTAACCTCGCAGGTATTCTGCTGTTTTTCTTAAAGTTATGGGGAAGACTTGTGATAGCATTTAAGCTTATAATCTCAAAATGAAGCCACAAGGACCAGCAAGTACTTATTGTACCTCTCAGGTAGAGATACCCATAAAAATGGAAACACAAGACTCGAGGGCACTACTATGATTTTCAATCACACAGTCGTCAAAATAGAATAAAATGCTCACAATCGTGAATGAGTTTGGAAATACGGTTGCTATCAGGGCAGCCATGTTTGCAGTTAAAACGCAGAAGAGAACTACTGGATCCTGACGTTTCTTTGAAGTGTTGAGTAGGATGTGTATATTTTCGAGAGAACATAACAGATGCAGGCACAGCCATTCCAGCCATGTGCCTATTGTCTTTGCAAAGGAATAAGAATGCAGTTGCTTACCCTTCATCTCTTTTAAAACTACTCTTTCCCCAAGAGGATAGATTATAAAATATTCAAGATTCTGTACCAAAGGACAGTATAAGCTTCCTTATTTAAATAGCTAAGAATTTGAAAGTGGCAGAACATTAATTCAACTTCATGGCTCAGCTAAACTCAAAAATGTACATGAGTGCACAGATCCCATGTCCATGAAGCATAACATATTTTCACAAGTACCCTTAGAACTACTTCAAGAATTCTGGAAACCTGAGGGAGTCCTCCCTAATTTCATTCCATTCCTTATGCACAAGGATTATCTACTCCGCCCACCCATAGCATGTCCGCTCTGAAATTTGATGCAAGGATCCTCTATACCTAACTATAATGCTCTCAGCCAAATAATGAAGGACCTGGAATGGAACCAGATTCCCTGTCCTTTCCTGCTGCACACAAAGTATGTCTGCATTCATATCTGAAAAGAGTGATTGCATGGGATTTGGTTTTAGAGTTCCTTTACGTAAGGCAGCAGAGCAATCTAGATGCAAGAGGTTGAATGATCTCAGCTCCATGCTAAATTTGGCTCTCTCCTGGTCCAAGAGAGAAAGAAGGATGTGTTCTGTTAGACAGCATTACTCAATGCTAACAACATAAGAAGTATTCCTGTGATAGTCATCTGTGTGTAACTTGAATCTTACTGTCTGAAATCATAATGTTAATAAATAAAATCAAGTAGCTAATGAAGTATACACAAATTAAATTTCCTTTACTTTTTGTGGGGTTTTTTTTCAGCTGACATATAAATTTTCTCTTTAAAAAAATACAATAAAGGTGGCCAAAATAAACAGTACTCTTGAGGAAACTATTTTAATATCATTTCACCTATTATGACAGAAATCTCATTAGTTATACTGAGGTTTCTTTCATGATCAAAGGAGAGCTAAACCTGTGTAGTAGTCAGTCCTACACAACTGTAAAACTCTGTTTTATCTTTGACTATGTTTCAAATTGCACATTAAAATTTCCTTTATTATTTTGAGATACAGTTGTACACTAATCTTCCCCTCTTCATGCTTTTTGCCAGTTTGCTCTATTAATTAACTTCTTTAAATCATTTTCTAAAATTCATTTTCTAAAATTCAATTTTATCAGTTTTCAATGGAAAACTGGTAAAAATAATTTCCCACTAAATTAGCTTAGAAAAAAAAAATTTGTTCAGAAAATTGTGAAACAGCTATTAGTTATGTAACATCTGTTACATATTTGCATAATTAGTTATTTGTGCTGCTTTAAATTCCAAAAACTTCGAGTGTTTCATGTTTTCTCTCCCATTCCCCACTTATTGGCTGATTTTTTTTTCTCAAATTCCATTTCTTCATCGTTTTTATGTATCAGGAAGTCCTCTTTGGAACATGAGCATAAATAAGGACTGAAGTGGACTAAGTCAAGGGTCGGTCCTGCTAGTGAGCTGCAGGAGATGGAAGAGCCCATACACAAGGTGTGACAGTTGTCAGGTAGGAATTCAAGTAGGATGAAATACTGACAGTAGAAATGGAGAGGAGTGCAGAAATTTTCAACTCATTGCTAGGAAAAAAAATGTGTAAGACATGCTCTTTTTAGCAAAACCATACTTGGGAATGTTTTCCAACTTTCTAACTGGGAGGTACAATACATCATTATTAACTATTTCTTACTATTTTCAGAAAGGAAGGAACCAGTGATCTCATGCCATATCTCACCCTTAACATCATACTCATTGAAGAATGATTTTTTTAGGCCACTAGTATTAACTTATAAAAGGTGATGTACAAATTAGGCTTTTTATGCATCGTGTAACTGTTTGTCAAAGCTGAATTCAGCTGATCTACAGTCTCTGCCATGAGAAAGCCCCTACTAGAAAGCCTAATTTATCTGTCTGTATATTCTTAATATTCCCTATCTTGTATTGTAAATTCCACTGGTTTTTCTATGAGTTTTTCAGGCCATTTTTTGTATATCACTGTCCTGTTTAATAGTGGCAGCTTATCTTTGTTCATCAATACAGGTCTGGATTTCCATGAAAATGCACATTTCCATTTAAATGAGGTGAGCAGCTCAGTTGCACAGGAGGCTATCAAGATCATCTATTTCCTTTGACTTTTTTTTTTTTTTGCATCATAAAATGAAAAACTGTGGGCAGAAGACTGTTAAACAGAAATTCCCAGGCTAAAAAAAGCAAATCCAGATTAAAGAAGAGTCATTATTTTGTTCATATCTTAAGAGATAATGAGAAAATTGGTAAACTAAATTTCAATAATGATCTGGAAAAGGTCATTGAAAGGCTGTCCCCTTTTCAGGACAGTGCTGAACCAAAAACTATTATAACAGAAACTTTCCTAGCAGAGTTTCTATAATTTTGAAACATTATTCCTTTGCAAAAAAAAAATCATTCTTGTGTCTGTAAGCCCATAGGGCATCCTTCTCAGATTTAACTTTTCCCTGTTCCCGTAGTTAGAGTGGAAATGTGTAATATCTTCCTGTCATTCATATTCTATTCCTTTATCTGTACAAAACTCATTATTTCCTCCACTATCAGTCTTTTCTTCTCCTAGCTTAGTGTCACCGTATATATATTTATCTCTTACTCGAATAGTTAGGAAATTTTTAACTGTTCGTTTCTCAACCATGGCCTGCAAGTAAAACAAAGTCAAAAAGACAACAAAAAATACATATAAAAAGTGTATATCAATACAGTGCTTTATTCAGCTTAAAACTTTCTGCTGATATTACTGTCTTACTAAAGGTTGGTTGGCCTTGATATGAGAAGGCAAAATGATAACTTTCTGTGCACTTCCTCGTTACCCTGGCCCCCTCACCCCCACCAGTCAGTTCTTTCTACCCTAGAAGCTACTCTCTCAAAGAAATTTTCTTAAAGAAAGTTTTTTCATTCCCCTTTACTGTTTCTGTTCATCTTTTGTATTTGTATTATAGGAACTACTTTGAAAAAAGTTCACAAAAAACATAATTAAAAAACAAGTTTCCTAGTGCAAAAAAAAAAAAAAAACCTTGATTTCAGGATTTCAGTGGATTTTTTTCATAATACAATGATTCAAGAACTTTTTGAAGATTCTAAGCTTTCTTGCAACATAACAGGGAGAAATTTAGGGAGGAATCTATATGGGGCTTCACAGTTCTCTTTTATTTTTTTTTTTCCTTGGGCCTGGCGTGGTGGCCTAGCAGCTAAAGTCCTCACCTTGAATGCATCAGGATCCTATGTGGCCAACGGTTCTAATCCCGGCAGCTCCACTTTGCATCCAGCTCCCTGTTTGTGGCCTGGGAAAGCAGTCAAACACGGCCCAAAGCTTTGGGACCCTGCACCTGCATAGGAAACCTGGAGGAAGCTCCTGGCTCGTGGCACCTGGCTTCAGATCAGCACAGCACAGGCCATTGCAGCTATTTGGGGAGTGAATCAGCAGACGGAAGATCTTCCGCTCAGTCTCTGCTCCTCTCTGTATACCTGATTTTGCAATGAAATAAAATAAATCTTCA